AAAGACTACTCTTCTTGCTACAAATACCACATTATCACTAGGTCTGTATTAGAGGTAACCAAAGGATCATTGTGGGTAGTCGATGAAAATGCACCTCTCGCTTCGGGGTTCTAGCTTATAATGAGACTCGCGCCTCACAAAATCCTTGCAACCCCAAATCTTGATGTAGGCTAGTTTGGGTACCTTACCAGTCTACATCTCGTGAGGAGTTCTGGCAGTTTTCTTTGTAGGGACTAGATTATGAATACGTGGGGCAGTCTCTAAGGCATACCCCTAGAATGAGATTGGTAGCAAAGCTTGACTCATCATGGAATGAACCGTATCTAACAAGGTTCGATTACGCCTCTCAGCCACACCATTCAACTGTGGTGTCCTGGGAGGTGTCAATTGTGAGATAATCCCACATTCCCTAAGATAGTCGAGGAACTCTGAACTAAGATACTCACCACCTCAATCGGATCGAGGCATCTTAATGTTCCTGCCCAATTGATTCTCGACTTCCTGTTTAAATTCATTAAACCTCTCGAAAGTCTCTGACTTATGCTTGATTAAGTAGACATATCCATATCTACTGTAATCATTAGTAAAAGTCAAATAATAATGTTTTGTATCCCCTGTGGCACGTTTGAATGGTCCATGCACATCCGTGTGTACAATATCCAACAAACCTTCACCCCTCTCACAAGAACCTGTGAAGGGAAACTTTGTTATTTTTCCAAGTAAGCATGACTCACAACTATCATCTGACTTTAGGTCAAATGACTCCAAGACTCCATCCTTTTGGAGTTGGCCTATGCGTTTCTTGCTTATATGTCCAAGACGACAATGCCATAATGATGCTTTATCCATGTTATTATTATTAAGAGAATTAATACACAAAACATTATTTCCTAAGTTATCAACCACGGATACAGTTACATACACACCATCACAAGGTAATGCTTTAAAATAAAGAATATTATTAAAGAAAGCATTAATCGAACCAACTTCATTATCAATTGAAAAGGTAAAACCTTGTATATACAATGCATGAAAGGAAATAATATTTCTTGCTATTTCTGGAGAATAACAACATTTATTCAAATCTAAACTAAACCCACTACTTAGCGATAAAGTATAAACTCCAATCTTGGTGACAGGTGATGCTTTCCTGTTTCCTATGATCAAGTTTATTCTTCCTTGCTCCACATTCTCACTTCTTCTTAGTCCCTACAGATCAGAACATATATGAATACCTCAACCGGTATCAAGGACCCAAGAGTTAGAATGGGGTGAGTTATTATATAAGATAGTGTAAATACATGCATGGTTGGGTTTGACTTTCCCATCCTTCACATCTTGTTGGTACTTTGGGCAGTTCCGCTTCCAATGTGCCTTTTCATGGCAATAGAAGCATTCAGCTTCTTTTGCGTCAGAAGAAGGAGTGACGATACCTTTCTTGGTTCCACTTGAAGAAGAGCCATCAAGGGTCCTAGCCTTGGTACCCTTCGAATAACTCTTTCTCTTCTTCCCTCGTCCTTTCCCGATTGCCAAGACAGGTTCGGAGTTGATAAGAGTAGGAGTAGTAACAACCGCCTTACCCTTAAGACCACTTTCCGCGGTCTTTAAGAGTCCTTGAAGTTTGCTGAGAGTGACCTCTTCCTTGTTCATGTGGTATATCATGCGGAATTGATCATAACCTGAAGGTAAGGAGGGCAAAATGATACCTGTTGCTAGCTCCTCGGGGAAGTTCACATTAAGCTTCAGCAAGCGGCCCACAAATCTTTGCATTTTCTGCATGTGGACTGTGATGGGTTCACCATCCTTCATTCAGGTTGTTATGATGGAGGAGATGATTTCATACCTCTCTTGTCTTTCACTTTGATAGTATCTTTCCATCAAATCTTGGTGCATTTCAAAAGGGTAGAAGTCCTCGTAGGACTTTTGGAGGTCGGCTGTCATAGTGGCCATCATGATGCATGCCACCTTGGTGGCATCCCTTTCACGTGCCCTAAAGTCTGCGATCTCTTGAGGAGTAGCAACTATCTCATCAATCTCCTTAAGCTCCTTATCGAGGACATATTCTTTTTCCTCGTAGTGGGTAATCATTTGGATGTTTCTGATCCATTCATTAAAGTTGGATCCATCTAAAGTGATTTTCCCACAAAATTTCATTAGAGAAAAGGAGCCATTAGGATTAGAGCCAGAAGCAGCAGTGTTTGCAGACATCGGAAAAGAAGAAAAGTTTAGTTTAGAAATAGAGATAGTCCTTAATAAAACACCCAAATGTAGTATTAAGGCTAGGACCCAATCACAATATATTAAACTTAGAAGAGGTATGTCGTAATCTAAGTAATAACATATTTGAAAGGTAGGTGAATGACGATTCACCAATTTCCACAAAAGCCAAAATATTAAAAATATTTAATTTGGTTCTTAGAAACTCCTAGATTCTTTTGAGATTTAATGAACTTTTCATAGGCATTTTTCAATCTCGAGTGTGCCTTCCAAGTTTTGTGACTGGGATGCTGAGGATCACGATACGAGGTGTGAAGTAACCATGCAAATTACTTGGTACCCTTAATGTATTACCCGTCAATCGATGTGTCGGTTAACCATACACGCTCCATCAATACAATCACTACAAGAAAAAGACCCTTTCACGACGTGCAAATCACGACGCTCATTGATTTATGTTATGCAAAAGAGAGTGACAATAAAAACGTGTCGTTTGTTCAAAAAATTTGAAGATTTAGGTCACGCATTATTGCGTGCCCTTAAATTAGTGTCTAATGTAAAAAAAAATAAAAAAAAATAAAAAAATAAAAAAAAAAAAACACGGAGGGCACTTTATCTAGAACGTGCGTCCTCTGTGATTGTTGCTTTATGATTTTTACTAAAATGTGCGTTCTTGAAAAGGGGAAATGAAATCCCCTCAAAATTCTTAAAATTTTTAATACCCCGCTTCAAGATCCCCTTCGTTCTATTCTTCCCTTTTCTCTGCAAACCCTAATCACGATACCATCTCTGCTGTATACCTCAACAATTCATATATTAGAAAATCATTGGGATAATTTCTAGGGCATTTTTAAACACTCATTCGACTTTTTTCTCTCCCGCCTCCCCTGTCTCTCTATTTTGTGCTCTGATACCCCCCTTCCATTTATGCCACCGTCTCCATCGCCATCAAAACGAGGATATGAGGCAGTGCTTGATCTACGATCGTCCAGTCGCCGATGCCCGGTTAATAGGAGTTGAAAACATCATAACATAAAAACTATTCTTAACCTTGCCGAACTCAGAAAAGCCGATGTGGCACATCCATGAGTATGAGGTGAAGAGCAACGTCCTTTTCCTTCCCGGCGTCCCTGGTCTAGTTGAGCGGCAAGATCGGGAGAAAGCGCCAAAAACTTACGGGAAGACGATTCACTTTTTTGGTAGGTGGATAGAGGCGATCAACTTCCCCTAGGTCTCCCACAGGTAATGATGGCTCTAATTCGTGATGGCTTTACCCTAATCTCGCTAAAGGTACAATTTACATTTCCTGATTTCCACCATTTTTGATCACCTGCAACTTATGTAGAAACTCTATCGATCGATTATTATTACATATTTGGAGTCTCGCTATGGTGTTTTGTTCAAAAAGGAAAGGGATAACAGAGCGTATATGGAAGGTTTATCCCAAGGAATTCACTCAAAAGCACACGTTGATGGAGTTGGACTCAAAACTATTGTACGAGATATCAATTTTCATTGCTTGGAGACCTAGCAAGGGTAATTTGGGAATATAGTCATCCAATTTCATTATGCCTAGTTGTTAACAATGGTTTATGTTAACTATATATTAACTTTTTTTGGTGTTTTTTGTTTATTAGGTTTGTCCAACTCATTTGCACCCACGCCTAACTGGTATGGCGACAAGTATCAGTTATCTTTTTTATAAGTGTCAAATGTCCTTTATTTATTTATTTGTTTTTTTGTTTATCATCTGAATCATCTAGTATTTTTTGATGTTATTTGTGAAGGGCTTAATAAGTCACTAAAATAGTGCAATCACCCTGTGTAGACTTGCATGAGTTTGTCCTCAGCTTGTATCACCTCACACGGAGCATTTCATGCAAGCATGGCATATTGCTTTAGCCATGTAAGTCCCAAAATTTTTACAACTTCAACCTCATTTCCTTTTTCTTAGAATTTTTACTTAAAACATCATTTGACAATACTTAAATTTCTTAATGTCAACAAAATTCGGGATGATATTCAAAAGGAGGATTTTTTTCGAGGTCTCTGTGCAATGGTATGCATCTGCTTTTGTGTTGTTTTGACTTTTGATTTGATTTGAAGCAGAAACTTACTTATGTTTTTTTGGTTTGCAGGTGAAAGTGAACGCATCAGTGGATTTAAGTTCACTTGTTTTCTTATGTAGAGCCATTTCTAGTTGGCATGTAAGTTTTTCATTTCAACTATTCTTCAACACACACACACATAGTATATATACACGTGTCAACACCATTTCAGCATGCACACCTGATTTTTAGAGGCTAGTCAATAGTCATGGTCTGGGGTAAAATTGAAGAAATCAAGTAAACTTCCATCACCATTCAGCTCTATAACGACACCTCTCTCACAATCAGCTCATACCACAGAGATGCATCCTTTCATTCTCTGATAAGGTTTTCTCTCCTTCTCAGTTCTCGCTGCAAATTCGCTATGTCACTATCTGTGTTTATGATTTTGGTGAGTTCATCATGTCTCTATATCCCTTTCCAGCAATCTACGCATACTTTTGTTTAACTTGCCTTTATTTTGTGTTCATACAGCTGAAATTTGCTTTAATGTGTCATTTCACTACATAATTTGGTTATGTAATTATTATACGATGATTTAGATTGCCGATTGAAGTTTGGGAACACCAATTAATGTTTTGGAATGCCGATTTGAACATCATTTGTGCGTTGGGTGCGTCGACTCAATATATGGTAACAAAATCTCACATTTTCCAGCAATTAGTTGTGTATATCTTAATTGTAAGGGGTAGCATGTCTTTCACTAAGAATTGGAATCACAGTGTTACATGCTGCTAGTGTTAGAAAAAACTCATGAGCAGAAATTCTTTCATTCCCATTTAGCCCTTTATGAATCAACCCCATGAGATCAGGATCCACAGTAATATCATATTTTATCTTCTTTCCTTTCATGTCTGCTTCTGTTGAAACAAGAATGGTATAAACTGACAAAAAGAATGTTATAAAATAAAACTACTAAAAGAAAGTCAAATGCGAAAAAGTCAAACCTGGATTCTCTTTATCCATAATTGGTGGATTATGATAATGCTTCCCGAAAATAGAAGCTTTTCTGAATTCCATTTTGTTTTCAATAAGTGTTCCAGTTTTATCAGAAAACACATAACAAATTTGACCTAAATCTTCATTTATACTTAAGGATCTGCATTGAAACCTTGAGTTTGTACTGCTATCATACATGTGTTTGTCTTCTATAATGAAATAACATTGACCTAATCGAACCAATTCCATGGTGATGTAGAAAGATATCGGAATCATGATCTGAAACACAATAACAGAACTCAAAAACGCAAAAAACGTCTCCATTGGAATCCCATAGTATTTATACGGTTTTCCTGGAAACTTTCCCTTTATAAGATAGCTCTTTCTATAATAAGGAATCGTATCAATTGCATCATGATGACTCATCAGCCATAAACACATCCCAATAGCAACAACAAGACACAATATGAATACAAAAATAGATAACCAGATAGTTTCTGAGTTCATTGCTTGTTCAAGTCTGCTTCTTTTTGAAGGGGAAATTGCACTATTTAGCATAGCTTTTGTCTCTTGTCCAGCATACACAACAACACCTATAACCCATTTTGTGTTTTTCACCTGACACCCACGTAAAATAATGTTTGATTGACTAAGGGAAACTTTATGACCATTTAACTCTATTAGCTGTGAACTCATATATGTTTCTATTAGGTTGTTCACATCTAATTACCCCTGATATTGACCCTAATGGCATTAAGGATGTTTCTTGTCTAGCATAACGTGTCTTTAAATTCGAATCTCCATCTAAATTCATGGTTTGTATGTAAGCAAGGCCACTAGGATCACTTATCCACATCAGCACCATGTCACAAGGGATTGTCACAAGAGATTCTTTGTTGTTCTCGTTTCTGTCTGATCTGTGTCTTCTCCAATCCTCGTATCCATCTTTTATAGCAGTTACTGTGAGAATAAAAAGGAAAGGGAAGAGAGAGACTATTCTTCCAAAGACTACAAGAGGAGGAAGCTGATTGAGAGTTGCAACGGCTAAAAAGTATATGTAAGCCACTTGATGAAACTGAATGAAGAGATTCCTGGGTTGGAAGTTTATAAGTGTGTATTTGCTAGTGGTGATCTTGTTTCCTGCTGAAAGTGGGTTGGTCTCCAAATGCCGGCCTAAGGACCGGGTAATCTGTTGTTTCCTACATTTACCCTTTCATCATTTTCGATTTCCTTTTGCATTTTATATGCTTATAAGATAATCTTCTATCAGACAAGGTGTATGCCTTGTTTCTGTTGGACCTATTAGTTTCCCACTATTACTGATTAGATGAGTAGGGTAACCTGTAATCATGTATGCTTGCCACATAAAGCTGTATTTTGCCATACCTAGCTTACTTGCACCAACAGTTATTAAGCAAAAAGCTTGTAGTGGGTGGTTTAGTTTTGTTAGTTGGAGTTCACATGATCGTCAAAGTAATTTGCTTTAGAGATTTGCTGGAGGCTTCTGTTGCTATATGCTAAACCCAACATGCTATTAGTGTTGTTGTTCTTGTAATTGTGATCATTCATTGCTAATACAGCTATGCATTTGAAATCAGAGGTTATGATATGTTGGGTTGTTATTGGTAGTGTATTTCTTTATAGTTAGCTCTAAAATGATGGTTTTTAACTGCAGATGAAAATAAGATGTGTTGCTCTTGTTTTATGTTTGAATATCAGTGTAGACCCACCCGATGTTATAAAGATTTCACTTTATGCCAGGATTATAAGCAGACTACAGTTAAGTTAAATCATTGTCTTTGTGCTGAAACATGTTATAATCAATTAATCATTACAAAATTATATGTGAGAATAAGTGCGGTTATATTGATTATTAAGAAGATATGAAAAGAACATGGACTGGCTCTTGTCCAAAAGACCTGAATGCCTTCCTCAAAAAAATCTTAGCCTAATTGGAGTGTTATAAAGATATAAAAATGTAGCAATAGATAAGGTTGTACAGTTTTAATATTATTAGGAATGTGAAGATATGTTGGGCATTTTCTATCTATTTGGAAGCTGTTGCTATTCTCCCACAGTTGGTTCTGCTGCAGCGAAGTGGAAATGTTGACAATTTGATCGGTCAATATGTTTTCTTTATTAGGTATTCTCCCTTCTATTTTTTGGCATGATATCATTATGAAGTTGGATAACCATCAAAAATGGTTTTTTAAATGATCAAAAATAGTATAATAATCATAAGTGTTATTTCTCTCATTTAGAACTTATAATATATTAATAACCATAAGTGTTATTTCTCTCATTTAGTTTATTCAGTTGTATGATGCCATGCAACCCAAAAGGACCATGCCGGGTTGGGTCAAGTATTTACAAGAAATATTTATGGACTTAGACACCTTATCCAACAGTCCCAACATCAAGAACCAAGGTTTTTGCGGCAAAACCCTCTTAATATTGGGACATACAGATTTAACAGAAAGAAGACCAAGGTGTAAGCTTGATTATCATAAAACGTGGAAAATGAGGTGTAACTCCTAGATCTACTCCTTCTCCCCTGAGTCTTCGATCCTCCACTTCTTCCACTAGCTTCAAGATACACCAAATAACACTCAAAACAACCAAGAAATCTCAAGTTCACTTATGGAGGATTAGGGTTTCGGGTGTAATATTGTGGAGGTGATGGAGGCTGGGGTGAAAGCTTCATAAGATGTTTAAATATGGTGAAAACCCTCCAATTTAAGGTTTCACTCAGACAGCTCCTACTCACCGAGTTGATCTTCCGACTTGTCGAGTAGGTTACTTAATCCCCTGACCCGGAGTTGATCCTACTCAACGAGTTGAGCCCCTAACTCGCCGAGTCCAAGAGTAAAAATTAAGTGTGACTTGAATTTAAATGTGTACCTGAGACTGGGTGTTACAATTCTCCCCCACTTATTTTAGACTTCATCCTCAAAGTCTGTGGTCATGGGAAACAACTCTGGGTAGTGTTCCGTCATTTCCTCCTTGGGCTCCCACATCCACTATGAACCCTTACGGTGCTGCCACTGCACCTTTACTAACTCTACCCTCTTGTTCCTCAATTCCTTCATCTTGTAATCTAAAATTGTCACGGGTCTTTTGATGTAGTTTAGGATATCGTCAATCTGAATGTCCTCAAGAGGTATCACTACTAAATCATCCGTTAAGCACTTCCACAACTAAGAAACATGGAACGCGCTGTTGATCTGGATAAGCTCTTCTAAAAGATCTAACCAACACGCAACCCGAACCACCCGAGCCAAAACCCCAAATGGACGAATGAACATGGGGCCTAACGTGCCCCACTTCCGAATCCTGATAACACCCTTACATGGTGAAATTTTAAGGATGACCATGTCACCCACCTAAAACTCCATGTCCGAACGCTGCTTGTTGGCATAACTCTTCTGTCGACTCTAAGCAGGCTGGAGCCTGCTCCTGACTTGCTGAATCCGCTTCGTGGTCTTGAGTACTACCTCTGTACTCCCCCTAACACTCTGACTGACCTCACCCCAACAAATTGGGGTCCTACACTTTGTCCTATAGAGCATCTCAAAACGAGGTCGGCTATACTGGAGTGCTAGTTGTTGTTAAACAAAAATTATGTTAACAAAAGATACGTATCCCAACTGCCACCGAAATCTAACACACATGCCCGAAGCATGTCCTTAAGAGTCTCAATCGTCCTCTCGCTCTGATCTTCCGTATGAGGGTGGAAGGCGGTGCTAAAATTGAGATGAGTACCCATCTCGTCGTGAAACCGCTACCAAAATCTAGAAGTAAACCAGACATATCGATCTGACATCACCGAGACAGGCACTCCATGACGTGCCACTACCTCCCGCACATAAATCTCGGCAAACTTCTTGGCCGAGATGCTCTCCTGGATCGGTATAAAGTGAGCGCCCTTGGTCAACCCATCCACGATGACCCATATCGAATCAACCCCACGCGCGGTTCTGGGAAGCTTTGTAATGCAATCCATAGTGATATCCTGCCAGTTCCACATGGGAATGGTTAACAACTGCATCTTGTCGTGTGGCCTCTGGTGCTCTTCCTTGACCTTCCTACAGGTCAGGCATCTCTCTGCATACCAAGCTACGTGTCGCTTCATGTAGGACCATCAATAATCGGGTCGATGATCTCTGTACATCTTCGTGGCCCCTGGGTGGATGGAGAACCAAGACTTGTAGGCCTCATCCATCAGCACATACTGTACTCTACCCAGTACGATACCCAGACCCTCCCATGCAGGTTCAACAATCCTCGGCTATCATAATCAGAAAAAGCTACTCGGCCCATTATCCTTTCTCACCTCTGGCGCTCCTCCTTAATCCCTCAGCATGCGCCTCCTTAATCTGCTCCAGTAGTGGAGTAATCACTGTCATCCTCAGATATATATCCCAGATCGGAGCGCTACCACCTTGCGGCTCAGGGCTTCGGCCACTACATTGGCATTTCCAGGGTGGTAAAGGATCTTGCAGTCATAATCCTTAACCACATTTAATCACTGAAGCTGCCTCATGTTCAGATTTTGCTGATCCATGAGGTACCTCAAACTCTTGTTGTTCGTGTAGATAGTACACTGAACTCTGAATAGGTAATGCCGCCAAATCTTGAGGGCGTATACCACTAACCCCAACTCTAAATCATGCAACAGGTAGTTAACCTCGTGAGGCTTCAACTGTCTCAAGGAATATGCTATCACATGCCCCCGCTGCATCAACATTGCTCTCATACCTATAATCGAAGCGTCACAGTAGACTACAAAGTCATCTACTCCCTCCTGCAGGGTAAGAATCAGTGCCTCGTACATTCGTTGCCTCAGCGTCTAAAAGGCTGTCTGCTGCTCAGGATCCCAGCAAAACAACATTGACTTCCTGGTCAGTTGGGTCAGCGGAACTGCTATCTTGGAGAAATCATGGATGAATCTCCTGATATACCCTGCCAAACCCAGGAAGCTTTGAATCTCAGATGGAGACCTCAGGACTTTCCACTGCATCACGACCTCTATATTGGCCAGATCGACTAATATACCCTTCTGGTTAACAAGGTGCCCCAGAAACTGCACCTCGCACAACGAGAACTCGCACTTGGAGAACTTTTCGAAAAGTCTCTCCTTCCTCAAGGTCTCTAGCACCTCCCTCAGGTGTTCCTCATGCTTCTCCTTAGTCTTGGAATAAACCAAGATGTCATCAATGAATACTATTACAAACCAATACATTATCGGTTTGCAGACACGATTCATAAGATCCAATAACATGACTGGAGCATTGGTGAGACCAAACGACATCAGCACAAACTCATAATGACCATAGCGGGTCCTAAAAGCAATCTTCTGCACATGATCATCTCTGACTTGCATCTGGTGATATTCGTGTAGGATATAGTGACTAAGTCCATAACTATATTTGGTATATACTTGACCCGACACGGCATGGTCCATTTGGGTTGCAGTTCACCCGAACAATTTATGGATAATATTTTCAGAATAGTACAAGTTATGATTTATTAATATATTATAAGTTCTAATATATTAATATCAGATCATATTATTTAATTAGTATTGATCTATAATCAATCTAGGATTAAAATAGAGATCAAAGATATTACTAATTAAATATGGGCTTCTATATTTATATAGTGTGGGCTAATGCTTATTTGGAATGGGCTAGGCTTGCATGGAAAAGTCCATGGATACTCCATGGAGCTTTAACCCATGGATCTCATGGAAATGAAGAGACATGGGTATTAGGGTTTACATGGATGTAACCCTAATCCACCACACTATATAAAGGAGGCTTTGGTTCTTGAAATCACACTAGTTGACACTTGTTGAGGTGAGTAAAGAAAGAGGGTCGATTTCAAGATAGAAGTGACTATTCTCTCAAAGTTCCAAGTTTGTGGTGATTTGTGATTTCCATTTGAGGCATTCACACTATTGGTGCTAGGCTCTAAAACTCCAAGCAATCAACTACTACTACAAGGTAAGTATTTCTACAAGCTTTATTTGATTCATGTTCCCCATGCCATGCTAATTAGGATATGAACCTTGAAAAATAATTATTTGCATGTATCTTAGAAAAACATGTTGGATTAGTGTCTAAGTCCATAAATTTTTTGGTATGTACTTGACCCGATGGTGCATGGTCCTTTTGGGTTGCCTTCACCAAAGTAACTTGATAGGATGAATTATGGAGAGAAAGGATTAAATATGATTTATTAATATATTATTGGAATAATATATTAAAGGAGAAATCATATTGTTTAATTAATATTAGTCAAGAATTAATAAGAATTAACTTTGTGACTAAAAGAGATTAATTAAACTTAAGGGACTGGAATTGTAATTATAAGATAATTGCAATTGGGCTATGGATTGCCTTATATTATAAGGTTGGACGAATTCTATGGGGAAACCCATTAGAAATCGTCCAAGGCCACTAAGAAAGGAATCCATAGGCTGCTTAGGGCTTAAGCAATCAGATTAGGGTATCCTAGTTTAAATCCCTAAATAGCCTACATGTATAAATAGCACCGTTAAGCCCCAA